ACCGCCGTGCCGACTGCCCACTCGAGCGCCTCTGCTGTCCCTGAATACGAGAGACGGCTGTCCGCCCTCGCTGAGCGAGTGTGTGCCAAGGAAGCGATGAAGGCAGAAGCGTGAGTTCAGGTCGTGGCACCCTGTCGCGGGCCCTGGTCATAGTGTGGGGAGCTCTGTCCTCCAGGGTAACAAATCCCTTTCTGAAGGGTGCCGTTGTTGACGTTGAGTTGTTGACGTGCGAGTATTTTCCCCCCGGGGCTGTCGTAACCTGCTCTTCCTCCTTCTGGCAGGCCAAGGGGAGGGGAGGGGGGCTGGGGTGGGAAAAACAGGGGTGGCGGAAAGAGGTCAGCGGAGGGGTGTTGGGCGGGGTTGCCGATTCCCGCGTTCCCCTCCCTCCCTCCTTCCCTCCCTCCCGCGTTCTCCTCCCTCCCTTTTTCCTCCTCCCCGCCTTCTCGTCTCATGCGAGGGAGGTCGCGAGACTGCGAAACAACGGGAGCGGGCGACGAGGTCCCTTCGAGAGGTCCACGGCTGAGTCCTGTTCCTCGAAGCTTCACGCGCCATTCCATCTGGCTGTGTGATCAACCCCAGACGCCGATGTATCATGGCGCCAACATCGCAGAGCGGATTTCGTTCGGAAAACAATGGGATGGGCCCGGATTGTCCTGGCGAGTTTCGCTATGGATTTCGAATTGAATTTCGTGCGGATTTTCTTGGGACCAGGAACGAAAACTACACACAATCCATGTCACATTAACTTCGTTTATCGCTCGCTGTTCCGTGGCTTTGCGTTGACAGAAGTCCACGCAACAATCCGCTGCAACACGTCTGCGAGGTCGGTGTAGTGATACTGTACACGGCATGCACTTCTTGCTGCTCCTCGTCCCGCCCCCGCTCCTCCTCCTCCCGCTTCTCCTGCCCGCGCTCCTTTGGACGCCCCCCGCTCCCGCTCGTGCTCCTCCCGCTGCTGCTCCTGCGGCCCCTTCGAGCCTCCGCTGCTCCTCCTCCTCCCGTGCCCTCCCCCCGCACTCCTCCGCGCTCCCCCCCGTCACCGGGCCCGCGGGCGGCGGCTCCGGGCGCCCGACCGAGCTCGCCCCTGCTCCCTGCCGCGCCCCTGCTCTGCCCCGGCCTCCGCTCTCCGTCCCCCCGTTCCCCCCTATGCCCCCTTCCCCCGTTCCGCTTTTCCCCCCCCCGCTCCCTCCCCCAGAGGTGCCCTCCCCGCCCTCCTCCACCCCCAACTGCGGCTCGACTCTGCTCGAGGCGCGTGGGGCCCCCGGAGCTCTCGACGCCCTGCCCTGGGCCGGCCTGTTGTGCCGCTTCGTTCTTGGAGCGGTCGATGCTGGGGTCTTCGTACGCCAGCCACCACAGTCCCAGAAGTGCAATGAAACGTTGGCCCAGCTCCGTTTCTGAGGAACCGCAGACATGGATTGGGGCGCGTGGATTGGCGACGGGCCGTGCTTCCATGTGACGTCTACACGCTCCGTCGCCAATTCAGGCGGCATTGGCCCCATGTTTCGAGGTTCGAGGGTACCCTTCGGTTGTTGACAGTAGGTATTCTTGGATTCCCAGAACCCAATCTACTTTAGGGGCCTTCCTGCTCGCAGAGTCGAGCGCTTTCCTTCTTCCCTCATCTCCAGGGGGCGGGCGGACGCCCAATATACTTCCAACGCCCTCCTACTTCATGTGTCTGCCCACTTCTTCGGACCGATGGGTACTTGCACCCCCGATCCATGGACTCGGCGCCCTTGAGCCAGATACACGGAACCGCCATTTCATGTTACAGCGCGTGGCCGGTGCCCGTTATGTATTTGCTCCAGGCCGCCGAGCCCGCGGAGAAGCGGGGGCCAGGAAGGCTCCCCGGACGTCACGGGCCCCTCTTCGTCCGGCTCGCCCGGCTCCATCGCCACCGCGCCGCCGGGGGGCAGCGTCAGCGAGGGCGCGGCCGCGCCGCCCTGGCCGAGCGCAGCGGCAGCCTGGCGCCGAAGGTGCGGTTTCCCTCCTCCTCCTCCTCCTCCGCCTCCTCCTCCTCCACCTCCTCCTCCTCCACCTCCACCTCTGCGTCCTCCTCCATTCCTTCTCCTTGTAAGCAATTTCTCCCTGTCGCGCCCCGAGGCCTGTTTTCAGTGCGGGCCTGGCGTTTCGCTTGATATTTCCTCACCATTTATGGCCCTGATGCGAGACATCATCGCGCCCTCATAGCCAACGGGACAAAACAACATTTATGTTGATCATAGCCTCTCGCAGGCTCGAGAGCAAAAGGACCGCATCTAATCCCGGGAGATTTCGCTCGCTGCCGCCCGCTTTGGGCGCTCGGATGGTAGCGCGGAACTGTGGTACTACGAGCACCACGGATACAGGCTTCCAGACTGACGAGCAGGGCTGCACCTGGCGCGTCGTGACTACGGACACCCACAGGAGCTGGAAGCGGACAGTAAGAACTTCATCGTGCATATCAGATTGCGAAGTTTCCCGCACGGACTTGGGCAGTACTTGCAGGGAGTGAAACAAAGAGGTCGGGTGCGTGATTGATGATGACGACGCCCGAGGAGATACTGCGGATAATCGAGCAGCTGGAGGGCAACAGCGCAGAGATGACACGCGAGGCACGAGAAGCAAGAAAACGCGCAGATTGACCAGCAGCGGAAGCGGCTCGCGCCGCTGAAGGAGCTGCTGGACTTGAAGCTGCGGCAGGAACCGCGGCAGCAGCGGCTGTAGCGACAGCCGACGTCGAGAAAACGATTCCTTTCGAGACGAACATAATGAATAATCTTGATAGGTTTGATGGCAAGCAAGAGTCGTGGTCCGACTGGTGATTCCTGTTCAGGAGGTTCGTGGCCTCCCAAGATGAGCGCACGATTGAGCTGATGGACAGGTCGGCCACTTCGGACGAGGAGCTAGTCATGGGCAAATCGTTTCCGCACGAGAAGGTGGGAGACGACAAGAGATCACGGACACGGTTTCGTGTGCTGACGGTTTGCATGTCGATGAAGTCCGGAGGATTCAACCTGATAAAGAAAATCTAGTCGTCGAGTGACTTCGAGGCGTGGAGGCATCTCATTGTGGAGTGCGAACCGAGAGCTCGAGGACGCCAGGGTGCATTGCTGAACCAGCTATTGAGTACGACGTTCAAGTCAGGGGCAGGCCGCCGAGAAGCGATCGAGACATGGGAGCGAGAGGTTGCAGAGTATGAGGAGCAAGCAGAGGACGTCTTGCCAGAAAGCATCAATGCGATTGTGCTGGTCCAAGGACAGGAAGATGAAGTTCTGAAGTCCGATTTGACGCTGAGCTTCAACAGGCTAGTTCGGCACCGAGACATCCGCAAGGAGATCATGGATTACATTGTGAATCCGCGGGTGTGGCGCACAGGCGATGACCAGGTCAAGCCGGTGGACGTTGACGCAGTTCGCCCTTGGTACAAAGGAGGCAAATCACGAGATGGCAAGGGGCAAGACGGCAAAGGCACAGGCAAAGACGACAAGGGCAAACCCAGAGGCGGCAAAGGCAAGGATGACACAGGGGAGACCAGGAGCGACAAGGGCAAGTGGCAAGTGGTGCGACTGGGGCAAGATCGCAGCCACTCGACAGAGACGCGCAGGAAGGAGCGCATGTGCGACCAGCGGACCCGAACGCTCTTACTCAGCAGCAGCAGCGCCCTCATATTGCCGCCGCAGCGGCAGGTCTAAGCGCGCGGGGCATAGTTCACAGTCTTGACCCGAATGACTCTGCCTCGATGGTTAACGCTATTCCCGTCTCGATGCTGGCCCAGCGCCGCCCGGGCATGGCGAGGCGCATTGCGCAGTCTGCAGGTGGGGCAGCTCCGAGTTCAGCGCCCCCGTCGGCGATGGCAGCAACGCAGCTGGAGCAGCGCAAGACGAGGGGCGCCACTGTTGGAGAAGATCGAGCTCACACCTGGCCAGGCGCGAACGAGGATGAGACCGTCTACATCGGCATGCTGGCGTCGGCCAGCGAAGCCTCTCACGAGAAAGCAGATTGCGATTACCGGATGATCGATAGCGGGGCTGGCATCGCCACGTGCCCGCCACCCTTTGTGGGGAAAGGGCCAGCGGGCTAGGGGTGGCGGACCGAGCGCAAGCAGTTGCCTCCGCTGGAAGCGGCCACTGGCCAGATGGCCACGCGCGACGGCGCCTGCGAAGTCAGCTTCGCTGGGGGGGCGACGAACCAGCCGCGCGAGATCGCGAAGTTCAGGTTCCGGGTGGCGAGAAGGGCCGGGTCGTTGCGCAGCTGGGCCTGCCGGAGGCAGGCTTCGCGCAGAGGCGCGGTGTCTATGCGAACGCGCTGGGGGCGCCCAGTGGGAGACCGCCCCCGCTTGCCTTGCACGGGCGCATCTGGCATTTGCAGGTGAGGCGCGCGGCCGCGGCCAGTGAGCTCGCGATCGCGGTCGCGCCGCTCAGGCAGCCAGCTGCGGCCCGCCGGCTGCTCGTCTATCGAGAAGGGCATGGCCTTGACGAAGCCGGCGGCGCAGTTCAGGAGGCAGCTGGAAGGGGCGGCGAGCTCGTCAGCATCCGCAGCGGCATCGGCATGGCCGGCGCAGGAGAGGCCGGTCAGCGACCACCAGGAGATCGCGGCGATGCGCAGGGATGCGATCGAGTTGCGCGACAGCCCCAGGGGCGCCAGTCATGCCGCCGTTGGCCGAGAGACAGTTACACAGACTCACTCATAGGCCCTGCCGATCGCGGTGCAAGGCGCGCGCGGCAGGAGGGGGCCGCGAGGAAGTGCGCCGCGGAACAGATCAAGAGCGAGACGCGCCGCGGGTCTGGATTGGTTACTTTTTCAGGAGTGCGCGGTGCAGATGGCGCGATGCCCCCGGCGCTTGGACTTCGAGTCGACGGCGATTGAGCGCGCCGACGAGATGGAGGAGGGCACGGTTGACTACGCCATCAATGTCCTGGTGCAGGCCTTCCAGTTCAGGGGCCGCAAGCGGGTGGCGACGGCGCGCGGCCGGGAGTGCGATCGCGGCGCGGGGCAGAGCCGCCGCCGCGGAGCGCGGCGAGGAGACTGTCATGCAGGTCGGCCCGAGGCTAGACTCGAAGTCGAAGGGGCCGATCGAGGCTGCGGGCGGCGGGGCGCGGCAGCTCGTCCGCATCTTGGCGCGCACCGTCAACGCGCGCTACAAGGTCGAGCTGAAGCCCGGCGACCCTATCTGCACCTGGCTGGCGAGACACGCCGGCTGGGCCCTCGCGAGATTTACCGTGAGAGAGGACGGCTCGACCCCGTGCCGACGGATCATGGGAAGGGGCCACCGCGGCCAGATCGTTGAGTTCGCGGAGACCGCGATGCACAAGTTGCCCGCCGGATCGGCAGGCAAGATGGAGGCCAGGTGGGACAAGGGCATCTGGCCAGGCAAGGCTAACGTCAGCGACGAGCACATGATCGGCACGCCCAGAGGCAGCATCTTCTCTCGCTCTATCGCGAGGAGGCCAGACGAGAAGAGATGGAACAAGCACCTCTTCGGCCAGATCGCGCGCGCCCCATCCGGCCCGAAGGCGACCCTCCTGGCGGCAGAGCCCGTCCTGGGGCCGAGGAACCTGACCAAGGCGATCCTCGCCCGACTGGGCAGGGCGCCTGGCTGCCCTGCTTGCGACGAGACAGGGCAGTGCAACGCGGCCGAGTGCGGAGCGGGCGCTGCTGGACGCGGAGGACGTCGCGAAGGGCCTGGCGGTCCAGGCAGGGTCCAGAGCCGAGGCTCTTCCACCAGCAAGGGCGGTGGCAGGGGGGAGGGGCCAGGCCGAGTCCGCGCAGCCAGCGGCCAGTGACGGCCAGGCCTCCCCAGGACCAGCAGCTGCTGTAGAATCAGCCGCAACGCCAGGGCAGCCAGCTCAGGGCGGCGGGGCAGGCGCTGCCGCGCGCGAGGCTGAGGGGGAGAACGCCGAGACGATGGGCCCGGCGCCCATCGAGATCGCTGCGAGGTCGAAGAGACAAGTATTCGGGAAGAAGGAGGTCCCTGAGAGCAAGAAGGCACGCACTGTCAGAAGTTTCTTCGCGCGCGTCGCACCGCCCACGATCTGCGCGGTGGATTTGACCAAGTGCGCAGCCGAGCCCGTCAACGAGACGGACTTGACGAACATCGATGGGGCGCTGTCTGGGCAGCTACTGCCAGCAGACAAGGCGATGGAAGGGCGCGCTCGAGAGCGCGCGAAGATGAAGGAGCGCACCGTGTTCAAGAGGGCCTTCTCCCACGGAGCCACAGGAAATCGCGCGCGAGGCAAGTGGCTCCAGGGCTGGAAGAGAGGGGCGGGCAGCAAGATGCGCAGGTCCGTGGCCACGCAGGTGGCGCGCCAAGTGCGCGACGACGCGTTTGCAGGCACGCCGCCCCTGAAGTTCGCGAGGCTCGCGCTGGCGATGGCGGCCAGCTTCGAGCGCGGACAGATGGTCTACCTGATTGGCCTCTGGGGCATCAGCGACGCTGTCTTCCGCGCCGCGATGGATGAAGGCGCCTGCGCGGTTCCGCCCGCCGGCGAAGATGACCCGAATGTGGCGCGGCAGTTGCTGAAGGCGATGTGCGGCGCGAGGCGCGCGAGCAAGCTCTTCCTGCGCATGGTCACAGGAGCGCTGATCGCCAAAAGGCTTCATCAGGCTGCAGGTGGCTGCCATGGTGTTCTTCCACTTCGAGAAGGGCATCTGCGCGGTGGTGCATGGCGACGACTTCGCGGCGGCGGCTACCCGCGTCAACCCTCTGTGGCTCAACGAGGTCCTGGAAGAACTGTTCGAGGTGAAAAGGTTTCCCTTCATCGGGCCCTCGCAGGCCGGGGGCGGAGTTGCGCCTGGCAAGCTCCTGGGGCGGACGGCGCGCTGGTCAGGAGAAGGTTTGCACTGGGAGAAAGACACCGAGCACGTAGTGACTGTGGCGGCAGCATATCGGAAGCTGGCGGCGACGAGAGAGATCTCGCCAGCATCAAGGAACGTCGGAGAGGACGTGTCGACGGCGCTGGGCGCCCTGAGCTACAAAGCGAAGAAGGCGTTCCAGTCTGTAGCGCCGACGGCGCTCTACTTGGCCGCGGACAGGCCAGGCGCCCACTTCTCGACGAGCTGGATCATGAGAGGCACGCAGGGGCCGATGGAGATCCACGGGCTGGAGCTCCAGAGGCTGTCCACGCACTTGGCGACCTGCCCGCGCATGACTTGGCACTTCGAGCGTCAAGAGATGCCGACGGAGATCGCGATCGTGACGGACTCCGACTGGGCAGGAGATGAAGTGGCGAGGCGAAGCCGTGGGGGCGGTTTCGAGCGCGCGGGAGAGGCGCGCATCGACAGCTGGGCTGGGCAGCGGGCGCCGGGAGCGCGGAGCAGCGGCGAGGCCGAGCACGCGGGGGTGACTAACGGAGCGGTCCGAGGTATCTCCGCGAAGCACCGTCTCGAGGAGATGCTGATCGGGACGCTGGTGACGGTGGCTGGCGACAGCACGGCGGCGATCGGGATTTGGTCGCACCAGGCACCTAGACGCGAGGTGCATGCGGCTGCAGGGGAAGGTGGCGAGCATGGAAGTGCGAGCCAAGAAGGTCCCGACGAGCGAGAATGTGGCGGATCTCACGACAAAGGTTCGGGATCCGACGCGACGCCACGCGTTGGTGAGGAGGCTGCATGTCGCCCTGCAGTCTGCGATGGGCTCGGCAGGGCAAGGCGGCGATCTGCGACGTCCGCGGCGGGGCGAGATGGAGACGACGCAGTACATCGTCGCTTCAGTGGCGCAGTATGTAGATATTGTGTATGTGCTTGGCTTAGAGTCAAGCGGTTAGTTTGCCGCGTGCAGGGCGAAGCCGAGTGAGACGCCGCGCGGCATGAAGCCGCGATGAATCATCGAGAATACCCGCCAGGCAGAGCCAGCTCGACGGGGCGCCGTCCACAGCTTGTATATGGTGGAGGAGGTCTAGTACTCAGCGCGAGAAATGCAGACCGGCGCGGCGGTGCCTGCCGCTCTCGAGGAGGAGTGCTAGACATCATCGCGCCCTCATAGCCAACCTGACAGAACAACATTTACGTTGATCATAGCCTCTCGGAGACTCGAGAGCAAAAGGGTACCGCATCTAATCCTTGGAGCTTTCGCTCGCTGCCGCCCGTTTTGGGCCCCCGGACCTGAAGCTCAAAAAGTGGCAATAGTTTCACGGATTGAGGGCGGGTTGTTTTCGGGCGGTTTTCAACATGTGGTTCCCGCTTTAGCGCCGCGCGCATTCGTTTTTCATTTCTTGTAAGCACCTCACTGATTGAAGGCTGTTCCTTTTCAAATGTGGCTCTCGCCTTTGCGCCGCGCACATTCGTTTTCAACATGTGCAAGAGCTTCACGGATTGAGGGTGGTGGTTTTCAAAATGTGGTTATTGTCCTAGCGCCGCGCACATTCGTTCTAAACATCCGCAATCGTTTCACGGATGAGGGCGGGTGGTTTTCAAAATGTGGACCTCGCATTAGCGCCGCGCGCATCCGTTTGAACAATTTCAAGCGCTTTGCGGATTGAGGGCGGCTCTTGTTCAAAATGTGGTTCTCGACGTAGCGCCGCGCACGTTTTTTTTTTTTTTTTTTTTTCTCTTACCACTCAAGATTACGAAGGCGCCACAGTTACGTTGATTCGCGGTGCTGAAGTCCCAGGAATTGCGTTCTGGCACATTCAGGATCGCCAAGACGCAACAGTCAGGCTGATCCGCGGCGTTGGAACCCCGAGAATAATGTTTTGGCATGTTTCAGGATTTTCAAACAGTTGTCTTCCAACGAGGCAATCCTTTCAGTGGAACTGAACCGTTCTAGGGGCCTATGAAGAGGGAGCTTGGAGGGAGGGTTTGTTCCAACATCGTTCATGGCTCCTGGGTTTACACAGGTCCTCCTCATCAACATCAACAGCAGCAACACCATCACCACCACCACCACCACCATCACCACCGGGTTTCATGTCCAATGCGTTCCCTGGCCCGGGCGCACATGCCTCGGGCGCGAGGATTCTTCGGGTATTGCTGGACGTGTCCCTGGCCCAGGGCGTCCGCCGTTTTTCGTTCCATTTTTGAAAGCCCCTGACTGGGTCCAGCATGGCCTCGTCGGGGGTGTTCCAGAGGCCGCCGGGAGTTTTTTGGAAACCCTGGGGGCACCTTGGGCCGGGGACACCTTCGGCAGCTGATTCGTTACCCCCCTCCCCCCCCACCCTCCAGGGCTTGTTTCGATTCGTCCGATTCGATTCGATTCGAATTCGATGGCGTCCGATTCTTATTCGGTTCGATCTGGGATTCCGATTCGGGTTTTGATCTCTCACTGGAGGCGTACTGGCCTGCCGATTTCCACCGATTCGACTTTTCCCGACTCGGCTGCCGATTTCCGCCGATCCGATTCATTTCGCTCGCCGACCCGAGTTATCGATTCGATTCTGGGCTCTCCCGCCCCTCTTGGACGCTCCCGAGCAGGGCCAACGGCGGCCAAACGCGTGCCTACCTCTGGCGGCTCGAGCGACCTGATGCCCCCGGGCCCGCGAGGTACCTGTTCGGTTTCCTCGACCAGTTCTCGATGGACGTGCACGCGGCCCAGAAGGGCCCTGGACCGAGAGTTGTGCACGTCCACAGCCTGAGGGAGAGAGAGAGAGAGAGAGAGATAGAAGCCGTGCGCGTCGGAGGTGCATTGGCAACGAGGCTGTGAGACAAGCCACTGTCTGCAGTGCGGCTGTGGAACAGTGAAACGCAAAGGGACGAAGGCTACGAGGGGAGGAGGAAGACAACGACAGCAGCGGCTGTCTCACTGCTCAGGGTTGTGTGCACATCAGTCCGTGTGTGTGGGGGGCTTTTTTTCACCACCCCGTAGACACTCCATGCCACAGCCTGGAGGACCGATGTTCCCAGGGCCCCAGGATTGGGCCGAGCGAAAGGGGGGGATAGGGAAAGGGGTGGGTTACGAAATCTGCTGCATGCAGCGGGTTCCGGCCCCGCCGCTGGGCCCATTCCTCGATACATTGGCCGCCTCCGGCGCCGGGAGGCGCTGGGAAAAAAATCAGCTACGTGAGCTGATTCTCAGACACCCTTTGTGCTATCCCCCCCCTTTGCCCGGCCCGACAGGATCCCTGACGTTCTCGCGCCACGCGCAGACGCCGCGACGGACCGCTCTGCGTGGCAGGTCTTCGGTGTCCTCGGGGCCCATGCGGGGCCCTGGGACCGTCAAGCAACGGTGCGGGATGGCGAGCCGGTTCCCGGGAAGGGGCCCAGATCTCGTCGGCTAGACGTAGGATTATGATGATCCAACCTGCTCCAGCCTCGATCACCAGTACCGAAACTCGAGAGTTTTCACGTGTCGGGCCCTGGGAGACATTCGTCCGACAATGTTTTGACACTCTTTCGACACTTTTCCAGGTCCTCAAGTACGATGGGAGCAACATAAACGTAGGAGTGACCTTTCACCGGAGTGACCTTTGGTGCGGGCCTAACTGGGTCCCCCGATCGCCGAACGCGCTGCGGCATCAGCGGCTTGCGCCCCTGGGTTCGGTGCCCCCGCACCCCCCGAATGCCGCGCACCCAAGGTCACTCTCACCCAGGGTCACTCTTGCGTGTAGCCGATCTGGGGGGAGCGACGTTTTGACAAGGTCACGGCGCCGGACGTCCGGAGCCGAGTGTACGGTATAGGTTCGTGTCGTGTCCACCGGCGGCGGCTCCGCCGCCGGCGCTCAGCTTCGCACGCTGCTGGCGACCCCGAATCGGTCCATTTTGAACGATCCGACGTTTCGGGAACGGCCGACCGTCAGGCCATCGCAAACGTGGATCAAGGGGGCGTGGATTAGCATCGGGTCCCATTTCCATGGGAAATCGCGGATTTCCGCCGCCGGACGAGGCGCCACCGGCCGCATTTTGGGGAGGGCACCTCCCCGGATCCATGGATTTGGCGACCGCGCGCCAAATCCGTGGATCGCTAGTTCATGTTTCTTTGCGTGCCCCCGAGATCGTTCAAGGTTGAACGATCCCCGCGCTGCCAGGAGCCAACGCCGAGGTCGGCACGGCACGAACCTGCTGCACCCACCTTCCCAGAGTCCTGGAATGTCGGCTGCCCAGGCTCTGCCTCGCAGGAGGCCTGCCGCGGCTCCCCGGAGGCCCCCGACCCCACTTCGGCCTTCGGCTCGACGCGAGCTGGGCCCACGTCGACGCGCGTACGGCGCAGCGTCGATGCATCGAGAGGTGCGGGCGGCTCCAGGAAGGCCCCCAGATCGGGCACCGCTGCCCGACGGCGGCGGCGGTCAGCGACGACGGGGAGGCCGATGACGACGCCGTCTTCGGCGTCGTCGTTTCGGGCGGCGGTCCGTGACGACGGGGAGGTCGATGACGTCGTCGTCGTCGTCGCTGCGAGTGCTTTTTCGGGCCACTTCCGTGGAGGTTCTCTCGTCGTGGCGGCTGCTCGCGGCTCGAAGGACTGGCTGGGAGGGGGGCCCGGGAGGGGCCCTCAATAGACAAATCTTCGAGCGAAGTTTAACGGACGGCGGCGTCGTTCGTTCGTTCGTCAAAAAATTCGGTGGTGCGTCGGGTCGACGGGCGTTTTTGTTTCTCTTGCCTGCGCCCCGTATGGGCGCCTGGCCGTGTGTACAGTCAACCCGCATAGTAAGGATGGGCAACCTTCCCAAGGGTACCCTTGCATCCTTGGCTCTTCGGCCCATCATTTGCGACTTTCGCTGGCCAGCGTCGTTCGAACAACGTTCACATGGCCCCCCAAAGCCCTTGCATCCTTATCGCGCATCTGTATGATGCGGGTCGACTGTATGTGCGTGCGTGCGTGCGTGCGTGCGTGCGTGCGTGCGTGTGTGTGTGTGTGTGCGCGCGTTTGTGTGTGTGTGTGGTGTGTGTGTGGTGTGTGCGTGTGTGTGTGTGTGTGTGTGTGCGTGTGTGTGTGTGTGTCTGCGTGCGTGCGTGCGTGCGTGCGTGCGTGCGTGCGTGCGTGCGTGTGTGCGTGTATGTGTGCGTGACGGCGACTGTTGCGGCGATGTCGGCGAAAAGCGCGTTTTTCTTTTTGTTTTGCGGTGTTGCCTCTGGAGGCCGCCCAGAGGTTTCTGAGGACCTCCAGGCAATTGTGCCTCGAGACATCTGCGACCGGGCCAGATCCGCCCCGAACGCCTCTCATCTGGACGCGCCCCAGGAGAGGGAGGGAGGGGAGGGGAGGGGAGGGGAGGGGAGGAGAGAGGGCCGATACCGTCGCGATTTCCGCCGGCGCCGTCTGGGCATCGGCCTGGGTTCGTGTCGTGTCGACGCGGCGGCGACCCCAGCGCGGTTGTTCAGGGTGAGCGCCGCCGGTGACCGGAATCGGCTGGTATCGAACGGTCGGCGCTTTCGGAAAGCCGCGATCGTTGAATGTTGAGCGTGCCAGAAGGACCAGCGCCGAAGTAGTCACGACACGGACCTGCCGTGCACCCATTCCCATTCCCTGGTCGTGGGCCACGGTCGTGGGCGACAAACGTACGGGCCCCTGGGCTGCTACCCTTCGGATATGTTTCGCGGATGCATTGTGCGGAACGTACAGTGGAGACCCATACCAAGAAACATCCTGCTTACCTCCAGGTTGCCATGGGTTTCTTGGGTTTCGATGGTTTCGCCATGGAAAGTGCGACGTTCCCACGCCAAAAATCGATGAACGTCCTGGGTTCTCAGGGTTGGGCTTCTTGTGGACAGTTTCTTGTGGTCGGGCCCCTACGGTATATCCGTGCGACCGCGTATCCGTGGGATCGAGCCCCCGGATCCAAGCCGCGAGGGCGTCGAGGATATGGAGGCGTTTGCCGCTCGAAGGGGGGGGGGGACGGCCCCAGTAGCGGGCACTGTCGCGAACAGGGTAAAGTTAAGTCGGGCATGTTGCTTTACAGGAGGGATTATTTTAGACCATTTTGGTGTATTGTTTGACTATTTCCCCATATCCTAAGATGGGGTTCTTGTTATTACTCGGACGCCGCCGACTCCAGAGAGAACACACCTACTCATACACAGACTTACTCATACTCAGACCTTCTCATACTCATACCTTCTCATGGTCTGACTTCCTCAACACACAATATGCAGGCCTACTCATACTCAGACTTACTCATGCTGGGACTCCTTCATACCCAGACTTACTCGTATCCAGACTCGTTCCCAGACCTGCTCATACACATACTTACTCATGCTCAGACCTACACATACTCAAACCTTCTCATAGTCTGAGTTTCTCAACGCACGGACTGAGACCTACTCATATTCAGACCTAGTCATACTCAGACTCGCAAGGGGAGCCGCCAGGGGTGTTTTCACAGGCCCGTTCGCGGCCAGTTTGTGGGGATGTCTCAGGCGGTTTGCTCGTTTTCATGCCCAACATCCTTTGCTTTCAGAGCAGATTGTGAGAATGTCTCAGGCGGGGCGCTGGTTTCAGCACCCCTAAGGGGAGCCGCCAGGGGTGTTTTCACGGGCCCGTTCGCGGCCAGTTTGTGAGGATGTCTCAGGCGGTTTGCTCGTTTTCATGCCAAACATCCTTTGCTTACAGAGCAGATGCTGAGGATGTCTCAGGCGGGGCGCTGGTTTCAGCACCCCGAAGGGGAGCCGCCAGGGGTGTTTTCACGGGCCCGTTCGCGGCCAGTTTGTGGGGATGTCTCAGGCGGTTTGCTTGTTGTTATGCCTAACATCGTTGGTTTTCAGATTAGATTTTGAAGATGTCTCAGGCGGGGCGCTGGTTTCAGCACCCCTAAGAGCAGCCGCCAGGGGTGTTTTCACGGGCCCGTTCGCGGCCAGTTTGTGGGGCTGTCTCAGGCGGTTTGCTCGTTTTCATGCCCAACATCATTTGCTTTGAGAGCAGATTGTGAGGATTTCTCAGGCGGGGCGCTGGTTTCAGCACCCCGAAGGGGAGCCGCCAGGGGTGTTTTCACGGGCCCGTTCGCGGCCAGTTTGTGGGGATGTCTCAGGCAGTTTGCTCGTTTTCATGCCAAACATCCTTTGCTTTCAGAGCAGATTGTGAGAATGTCTCAGGCGGGGCGCTGGTTTCAGCACCCCGAAGGGGAGCCGCCAGGGGTGTTTTCACGGGCCCGTTCGCGGCCAGTTTGTGAGGATGTTTCATATTCAATCATATTCAAAGTTCGCTCTGACTCATACTCACTCACTCACATTAGGATTCACTCGTCTTCGTCGGCCCTGTCGTCCATGTGGACGCGCTATGATAGTCAAACGCTCATGAACAGACGCTCACTATGGCATGACATAAAACATGAGATGCACATATGGGGAGCTCCACGCAGTGAGTAATTTCATTTGTCATCCAATTTCCGCCTGCACGGGACATGCACGACCTAACAGTAGCGGGCACTGTCGCGAACAGGGTAAAAATGAGCCCCGGATCCTGGAAGTGTTTTTTTCGCTGGGGCGGGTCCTGAGGCTGTTTCCAGGCAGCCGCGCGTCACCGAGCGAGCCCCTGGAGTCGTCAACGACCGTCCCTTTCTGGTCCGATGTGCGCCAGGCAGAGAATTTCCAGGCGGGGTCCAGAAGTATACTTACATCAGATGGGTGCCCCGTCTTCTCTCCAAAAGTCACTGGGTGGCGAAGGAAAACAAAACGAGCCTCACAAGAACTCCTCCTCAGTCGTCAGAGCGTCCGTTCGAAAGTCGCGGATCGCAGCACTCCGTGCTCACAGAAGCACGCGTCCAGCTGCCTGGTTCTGGCGGCCGAGGAGGGTCCTGCGGGTCATTCATTCGAAACTCGCCAGTCGAGGATCTGATATTGAAGAGGCCGTATGGCCGGTGCCGCCGACCCTGAACGACGACGACGACGACGAGCGCTCTCGGGGGCCTCTTGGGGTTCGTTTTGAAGCTCGCCAGTCGAGGTTCTGATACTTGATGAGATGTTCTCTCATCCCCGTGCTGGACGACTTGGACCCCATTCGGGCAGCCTCCGCTTGCCTCCCACCTCCGCCAGATCGCGCCCACTCCTTCCGCTCGCGCGCTTCTGACGCGCGCCCTCTCTCTTTCAGCTCATTGTGCAGGCGTGGGCGCGCATTCGGCTTCATGCCCCTCAGCTTTGCAGCCCAATTGCCTACCCCCACGGCACTCGCTCTTCCTCCCCCGCGACGCTGGGTCGGGACAGTCGGAGACGAGAGCAGGACCAAGTCGGGAATCTCCGATAGCTGCCGGTTTTCGATTGGAACGATTTGTGACTCACCCGGGGCTCCAGCGCGCACGCGAGGCACGGCCAGCAGTCGAAATCATACACAAGACGCATGTTCCCCTGGAAGGAAAAATGGGCGTCTCCCGCCCGCCCGCTGCGGGCAAAGGTGGCAGCACAACAGAGAGTAGCTATCATGTCAAGAAGAGCATTAGAACATGCATCTCGTGAGATGATGCACGAGATAATGCATCAGCACGCACGCTTTTAAGTCGGCGGCGCAGAGGGTCCTCTGGCGCGAGCAGCAGATGGAAGTCCAAATTTCGGGCTGGACGGAAAGGGAGGATAGGGAAAGGGGGGGGGTACGAAATTTGCTGCATGCAGCTTGTTTCGGCCCCGCCGCCGGGCCCTTTCCCCGATACATGGGCGCCTCCCGGCGCCGGGAGGCGCTGGGAAAATCAGCTATAGTGAGCTGATTCTCTACCCTACCCTTTGCTATCCCCCCCTTTCGTTCCCCCCGATAGTTGCGATCGAGCACTGTCGAAGGCACAGTGCACAGCACGTGCACGCTGTCAGTGCAGCAGTGGGTGGTGTGCGCGATGGGCCGCGCGGCGGCCGGAACACCGAGCAGGCGGCTCGACTCGAAGCAAACTGAAGCGCGAGCATCATCACCGACTTCCCCAATCAGTGCTTGCTCTGCCGCGAGCTGCCGCGGCCTCGGCACGCCCCGGGCCGGGCCGGCCAGCTAGGCCGACCCTATAAGCCTTCCCCTGGGCCCACCCTAAGCCTTCCCCTAGGCCCTTCCCCCAGGCCTACCCCTAGACCTTTCTCCTGGGCCTACCCTAGGCTTACCCTCCAAAGGGCAGCTCGTGAGGCACTGCGGGGGAGCGGCAGGGCGGGCAGGAGGCGAGGGGCAGCGGCTCGGGCGGGATGCGGTGGAGGCCCATGCCAAGCAGCCCCTTGCTTGCCTCCAGAGTACCCTGGGCTTCTTTCCCCACTGACTGCTTGCACTGAGGGGGTCCTAGCGGAAGTTGAGAGATTTGGCGAAAGTTTCCCGCCGATTTTGGTAGCAGGCTGGGTTCTTTGGTTCCCGGCTCCGGTTTCCAGGGTTCCGTGTTATTGGTTCCGGGCCGATTTCGGTGGGTTCTGGGTTCCAGGGCTCCCAGGTTCTCGGTCGATCTCTTCAGCGAATACCATCCACTGATTGGGTTTTTTCTTTGGTGTTTTTTTTTGCGTCGGCGGCTGGGTAGGGTAACTGCGCTGGCCGAGGGCTACCTGAACGTGGATACCGTTGTAGCGAATTGTGACACCATGCAGGAGGGAGGGGAAAAGAAGAGGAGGCGGAGGGAGGGAGCGAGCCGCTCAGGGGGACGGGTCACGCACCGACATGCGCACGCGCACGTGACGCTGGCCAGCTGTGGTGACGATGTTGGCGAGGTCGAGCCGCTCATCTCCGCAGTTTCAGAGCCTGTTTGGCTCAACCCCCGCGCAGGCATCAGGTCCTCCTGGCCTGCCAGTTCTTGGCGGCACGCACAAGAGGGTAGGAGGAGAGGGGGAGCTTTCTCAGAAGGAGGCTGCTCTTCTTAGAAGGCGCCGGCCCTACAGTTTCAGACAAGGCCCGCGCCTTCTGAGAAGCAGGGGTGCTTCTAAGAAGCTTTCCCCCCTCCTCCCCTGAGATCCGACGTAGCGAAAAAATAGCAAAATAGTGAAAATCTGCGCCCAGAGCCCCGGACACAATCTTTCTGCGTCATTTTTCGAGCCGGATCGATCTGTGAGGGCTCCGGGACCCGAAAAAATTAAGGCGAACACGCCCGGCTCGAAAAAATTGAGGCGCCAGGATCTCGGGGTCCTACCCCCCCTGTACGCGCCGCCAGAATTCGGTGCCCGCGTGCCCGAGCCTGACCCCGCCGGGGCGCGATGGTGGCCGGCATGATGAGGACGACGTCGTCCTCCGCCAGCGCGCTGGTCGAGGCCCAGGCCCAGGCCGGCGGCGCCAAGCCGGCGTACAAGGTGCCCATGATGGGCCTGTTTTCCACGACCACCATATTTTTCAGTTGGAGGGGGAGGGGGTCCTCCTCCTCCTCCTCCTCCCCCTCCTCCTAATCTTCGTCCTCCTCCTAATCTTCGTCCTCCTCCTCCTCCTCGTCATCCACCTCCCTCCCCCTCCAACTTATGGTGGTGGTGGTGGAAAACAGGCCCATCAGCCCAGGGGAAGAGCAGACTCAGGAGGGAAAAAACACGCAGACACAATGAATCGTCGGCTCCCCAGGCGAAGCGTCCTGGCGTGCCTATGTTCTTAGAACATTCCTGTTCTTAGAACATCTCTGGCCGGGACTGTCTCGGTTTAGCACATCGGGTTTATGTTCTAAGAACCCTGGTTTTGTTTCTAGAACATTTTGGGCTTCTAAGAGCATGTCGTGGTAGGCCTATAGGCTTATCGGAATGCCGGGACGGTCGGTCCCTGTTCAACAGGGGAAAAGCAGATTCAGGGGAGGAACAATAGACAGACACAACGAATCGTCGACTCCCCCAAAAATATGAGAAACTATGGGAAGTGGGGAGGAAGACGAACACCCAAAAAATATGAGAAATCATAGGGAATCTTGGGAGTTGTGTCTATCATTTTTTGTGTCCCAGGGCCGCTGCACAGATGCCGATACCACTGCCCCCCAGGCTGGATCCGCCTCGAAATCCTGTCCAGAACGCGCCCCTGGAGAGGTCCGTGGAGCAGCGGTAATTATCGGTATCTGTTCATTTGGATGCGACGCCTGGGAGGTTACATTCTGTATCGGCGCTGGTATATCTCTGGTCGCTGAATTTCGGCTACTCCGGCACAGTCCAGCTTAGAATGACGGGCTCAATCCGGCTGAATGGCCCCTGAATCGGGCTGTATAGCCCCTGACCGTTCTCACGAAGACCCAAGTACAAGGAGCTGCCTCCCGATCTTTTGTTCTCCCAGAGGTGCCCGATATCCAGGGCCCATCGCATACCGAGGCGTTCTATGCGACCACCGCCGGTGGCTACAGCGGCGCCTGGAACGACGCCACCGCCGCCGCGATCGCGGGGCAGCTCGGCGACTGTCCGACCATCTCCGAGGCCCTCCGGCGGCCCCCCCCCCCGCGCGTTCCTGCGCGCGCACAGGTAGTCGCGGGTGCGCGCGCGAGCAAAAGGCGGAGGCGGAGGCGGAGGGGGAGGGACCCGTCCTCCTCCCTTCCCATCCCCAGGGTTCATTTCGATTCCTCCGACTCGATTCGGTTCGATCTCGATGGCGTCCGATTCCGATGCGGTTCAGCTTCGCATGCCGACGTGGATCTCGGCTTCTCAAGGGGCGCCTTACTGGCCTGCCGATTTCTCCGCCGATCCGACCTCTCCCGACTCGGCTGTCGATTTCCGCCGATGCGATGCATTGCGATCGCCGATCCGATGTTTCCGCCGATCCGATGCATTTCGATCGGCTCTCCTGCAAATGATTTGAAGCAACCACACATGTGTGCCAGCGTGGACTCCAGACGGTGGAGGCGAAAGCTGTGCTGTATAAGCTGTGTGGTGAAAGCTGTGCCGAGAACGGACGCTGGAAGTGTCCAAAGGCAGATCCCGAAGTTCATTTTTGATTATTTTGGGGCATGTTTCTACTATTTTTTATTTTTCTGCCAAAGTCCGCCTGTAGGAGGACATGCCCGACATAGGGCTAGGCATCGAACTAACTATCAAAACGCAGATCCCCCTCGGAGTTTCAGAAAGGCTCGCAGAGTCCCCCCCACCTTCCGGCTGAGGACGAGAGGTCGAATCTTGAAACATGCTAGCCCTCCCCAAAGTCGGGGCTCGTTTCGACTCCTCCGGCTCGATTGGATTCGATGGCGATCGATTCCGATTCCGATTCGATTCGATTTCGGATTCCGATTTGGATTTCGGTTTTCAATGGAGGCCTCACTAGCCTGCCGATGTCGGCCGATTCGACTTCTCCTGACTCGTCTGCCGATTTCCGCCGATCCGATTCATTTCGACCGTGGATCCGACTTATTGATTCGATTCTGGGCTCTCCTGCCGAAGGCGACGAACAATGCGCAAATCAAATTCAGCCCCCCTCCCAGGCGTCTGCGTTTTGCGCCGCGCTCAGCCAGACCCCCCCTCTCCAGGCCTGTTGGTGACAAAGACCGAAGCCCCCCAGAATTCCCACACAGATCGAAACGCAGACCCCCCGCCAGACATCCTTGGACATCAAATTCAGGAGCGCCCCCGTCTCGCCAAGACAGCCCGAACCAGACCCCCCCCCAAATGTCCCCCCCCCCCCCCCCTTACTATGACATCAGGAGTAAGCTATATGGTGTGAGCTATAGAGGTGTAATTAATTTCTGTTCGCAGTGAGTTGCCCACTCCACTGCTCGCGCAAACATCCCACCCACCCACCCGCAACTTGGTTTGCAGAATCTCTTGAGACCGTGACGGTGGGTACCACATGGCACTTGGCAACAACAGCGACGCCGACGACGACAGCGACAACGACGGTGACGACGCCGCCGACAACGACTACGACGACACCGACGACGTCTCCAACGACGACGACGACGCCGACGACACCGACGACGACGACGACTCCGACGCCGACGACGACGACGACGACTCCGACGCCGACGACGACGACGATGACAACGACGACGACGACGATGACGACGCCAACGACGACGATAACGACGACACCGACGACGACGACGTCAACGACGCCGACGACGACGACGACGGCGGCGACGACGACGACGCCGACGTCGACGACGACGAAGACGACAACGACGCCGACGACGACGACGAAGACGACGACGACGCCGCCAACGAAGACAACGAGGAAGGAGGGAGGACGACGACGGCGACAACGACGACAACGACGAGGGAGGAGGGAGGACGGCGACGACGCGAACGTCGAAGAAGGAGGAAGGACGGCGACGCCGACGACGGCAACGACGAGGGAGGAGGGAAGACGACGACGCCGACAACGACGACGACGACGGTGACGAAACAGGAGGGACCGACGACGAGATGCCGACGACGGACGACGACGACGTGGGAGGAGGAGGGCGGGCGACCACGGCGACAACGATGACGGAAACGACCACGGCGTTAAAGAGGACGACGACGACGAACACGAGAAAAGACAGAGGACGACGTAGGCGACGACGACGACGACGCGGGAGGAAGGAGGACGGCGACGACGACGACGACGACGACGACGCAAGAGCGCGCGCGCACGCTTTTGTTGAAAATCCGTGTTGCGAAACCGAAGGTTTTTGTATGTTTTTTGGACGCACGATTTTGAAATCCTTCCGACACCGATGGGTTCTGAAGGTTTTCGGCATACGCCCGCGACGACGCGCGCGTCTGCACTTCGTCCCGTTTTTTGCAGAGGATTCTCGCGACGGCACACGCGCAAGGGCGTTCGACAGATTTCGACATGCGCGCGCGCGAAGCCCGTTTGGTAGCATTTTGTGAAACTCTTGAAAAATCTATGGTTTTCTTACGATTTCGCAAGAGCTCGCGCGGAAGCTTTTTAGCAGTATGTTCTTTGGAAACTCGATGGCGAAATCCTTCCCGCACCGAAGGTTTTTGAAGGATTTCGGCATGCGCGCGCGACGACGCGCGCGTGTGCACTTCGTTTCATTTTTTGCAAGGGATTCGTGAACAAGTGTTATGGTCGAACAAAAAATGTCACCGCGTAGTGTTTTTTACCAGGGAACCTCAGGGGGGGAACCCGGCCTGGCTGGGATGGTATGATTTCGTATTTTGGATGGACGAGTGGTCATAATCATATATGATTTACAGACCCGAAAGGGGAACCGATAAGCCGGGGGGGTAGAGTTGATTTTCCTTTTAGAAAGGAGAATCTACTCGGCTCAAGCTATGTGGTGTAAGCTATGTGGTAAAAGCTCTGTCGCGTAAACTCAGAGCACGTTGCACCAACGAGGTGGCACGGGCGGCAACCTCGCGTTCGGGAAATCCACTTGGTGCATTGGGCGCCCAGGAGGCGGCACGTGCGGCAACGTGACGCAATCTCGACGTACCCCCCCCCCCAAGCGCGGGGCGACCATGAGGCGCCCACGAGGCATAATGGGTGGCAACGTGGCGAAAAACCAGAACACCAACCAGTTCCTCGAATGAGGCGTGAGAACCCCTAGGTACAAGCAGTGTTGGGGAATTGGCCTTCGAAGGTCCACGCCAATTTCTTGGATCTGCGCTGGGATACCTCCCCCAGCGGGGCCTCAGGCGCCGCTCCGCGCGCCAGGGAGGCGAGGCCAGCGCCGATCCAAGAAATCCGGGCGGGTTGTCGAGCATTATAGTTTCTGTAGTCGTTCCTTGCTCGAGGAGGGGGAGCGGGGGGGGGCTTCCCCCCCCTCCCCTCCCCTCCCCTCTTTTTCTGATTCGCCCTCCAAGCAACTCCCGAGGTCCTGGCCATGAGGGGCCAGAGGCTGAAGCCGATCAAGCCGCTGGTCAACACCGGGATCTCCGTTTTGGCCAAGCAGGTCGATGAAGCGAGGGAGGCCCCGGGGGGCGGCGGTCACAGCGAGATCGGGGCGGTACGAGGAGGAGGAGGAGGAGAAGGAGGAAGGACGAGGGAGGGGGAGTCGAAGAAGCAACATTCGGCGTCACCATACATTTTCGGAGGTGCGAGCGAACTTCTTGGATCCACGCTGGGCCCCCTTGCGGCGCCCCTGGTGCCGCCGCTGGCGCGCTCCACGCGCCGGGGAGGGGGGTCCAGCGCTGGTCCAAGAGGTCCGCACAGACCTCTTACAGTTAAAGGTAGATGTTTTGTTTTCTTATTATTCTTCTTTTTTTTCTAGATCGGACCATTCGAGATCGGGCCATTCGACCATTCGACCAACTGAGACTCATGTTCCAGCCTTTCCATCTCTGAGGCAGCTGCGCTGTTGAGGTGCGCCAGCAGGGGGGTCTGGCTCAGGAAGGGGGAAGCATCGACCCCTAGTCGTCGCCGATTTCTCGCCGACGCGTCGTCGATTCCAGGCCATCTCCCCTTGAGCCAGTCACCCTTTCGGCTCCCATCAGTTATACAGTCGGACCGAGGCGTAAGATCGAGGTCGGTTCGGGGAGGGTATCGTGTTTGTTGGATGTTCTGATGCATCCTGGGCAGGATACCCTTGGATGTTCTGCCCCCCTTTGGGCATGCGGTGGCGAAAGTGGCCTGTTGCGAGGATGACCGGTTATTGTCGAGGAGGAAGTGGGGGCGACGTCCCAGGACTCCCTAGAAGCCTGAAGTGCCCGCAGGATCAATTTTTCCGTGTAAGGTGTCAACGCCCCCTCCAGCTTAGGACCACAACGGAGTCTTCAGAGGCTCCAAGGGGTCCTCGGGAGGGGTTCGTAGTTTGTCAAACCGGATGTCTCGAGGCTTGCGAGAGTTCTGAGGACCAGATAAAGTTGGGGACAATTCTTCCGAGGTAACGTGCGTTGAAGATCCAAATCTTGCAGAAAATAATATGACTAATTCTAGACGCTTCGCGTATCCCCACCAGCGTCCGAGGTATACCCCATTGTTCCCACCAAGCGGAAGACTACAGCAGAGGTGCCAGAAGACAGTTACGACATGTGCGCACACCTCCCCCCAGCAGGAATCAGCGCGTCGGTGAGTGACGCATTCTCACGACCCGCGCCCCGCGAGGATGGCGCGTCACCACATGACACGGAGACCAGCAACCAAGACGGCCAACCGGGAGCAGACGGCATGGCTTCCAACAGCGACAGCTCCTCGTTTCCCAAAGTGCCTCCACCCGTGTGCCCCTTCTTGCCCACGCTCTCCACCCATCGTCTCGCAGGGGTGGAGTCGGATGGCCCGGTCCACGCCCTGGTCAAGTACACGATAGAGTGGAACCACACAATCTACACCCGTTGGGCCACCTACGCACAGCAACAGGGCGAGAATATCAAAGGGGACATAACAGACGAGGCGGGGTGGCCGACTGAGCGGCTGCTCCCCTTCCTGGACGCGGTGTACGGAGATGCAATCCCAGAGAACGGGCACCCCCCACGCGTCCCATGGGACGGACAGCGCGCAGCAGCAGCCAGGGTGGTCGCACACCTGGCGGGCAAGCGCCAAAAATACAAAGAAAAATGGGATCGCTATGCAGACAGCCTCACCGTCCAGAAGGGGTAGTGCCCATTCCGACAGCCGTTTCACATCCTCATGGCCTTCCTAACAAGGCTGGAAGGCTCCGATTTGGCCAGGGGAACCATCAGCCACCTCGCCGCCCTGCCCCTGGAGACGGCTGCTAGCAGCTCAGGCGGGGATGAGTCACCAGCAGCCAGCTGGCTCAACAGGACGACCAGCAGCAAGGAATCCCCCGCGGCGGAACGCCGAGTGGAGGCCCAAGGAGCATCCCCGACCCGCATCGTCGCGCCACCCCCACAGCTTGCTGAGGCTGATGGGCCTCCTGTACCCCAGGCAGAGGCACAAACCCCACCGGGGCATTGCAAAGGCGAAGGCGACGTGGAAGGGGTTGATTGGGGAGAAGAGGGGGGGAGAAAATCCGAGTCAGACGGCTACGCACGATCTGGCCCGCACGACATCTCCGTGGACTCCAGCTCGCAGGTCAGCCCCACCCACCCCGACGACGACCTAAGTGACACAGCTCCTCCTGAGGATGACAAGGTGATCCGTGAGCCCCCACAGCTCTGGGAAACACCTCCCGACAGGAACGACACAGAAGTCTGGCCCCCATATGTGCAGGCCGCCTCCAGGGAAGCAGTCAGAGATAGAAGCGCCCCTTGCGACCTTCGTAGCAGGGATGAACGGATCCGGAGCCTGAACGACGCCCGGGATAACAGGTCTCTGAGATATGCGGATGGCGAAAGTAGCCGGCGACCACCTGCGATTGATGAGAACAGGGCCAGGGAGCGCTCGGCCACCCCACCCCCATGCGACGTCTCTCGACTACCGCGCTCCACCCAGGCCTCCTGGAACGACACACGGAGAACGCAGCCATCCGCAGAGCACCCTGACGATCCCATGGGAGGCATCCCCATGTACATGTGTCCAGTTGACAAAGCAGACGTCTCAAGGGACGAGCCGGCACCAGACGAGATCTCACGGCTGCAGAAGACGCTGGGCGGTGCGTTCAACGGAGTCTGGGGCGCCTGGGTCTAGAGGGCAGCCTCGAGGCAAGGGAGCCACTGCACCAAGCTTGATCCCAAGCTCAACTCCGTGCAACAGCGCAGCGATTTCCTCCAGGTGCGGAGCAAAGCGGAATTTGATGCTTATAAGATGGATAGAAAGTTCCAGCTCCACGTCGACTGGCCGAGTGTCAAGGATCGCTACCGCAGGCTCCTGCAACGCGACGCCAGACCGCACGCCGCTCGCGGGGTCGACGGCAGTGGCCGCCCACCCCCTTGGACCACAGCGGGCAAGGAGGCGGCGCGTGCGGTCCCGCCAGATCAGTGGACCGGTGCATTTAGCTCAGCCTCGTCGCGGCGTGGATGGCAGGCATGGGACGCGCGGGGGCACCAAGGTGCGTCATGGACCGACGCGGACTGGAAGGCGAAGGGCAAGCGCTACTCTCCAAGAGGAGATCACCCGCACGCCGACAAGCGTCCACGAGGTTGGGACCCCCGATCCAGATGACGGGGGCGCAACGAGGGACCTGTGCGAGGCTGGCCCCCCCCCCCCCGGCTAGCGAAGGAGCGCGCCGGTGGTCGCCACGGCCCACCACCTTTCGTGCTGCCTGCCACGTGCAGCGCACATCACCACTTTCCCCACCCTTCCTCTCCGCCCGGCATTCGCCGCCCCCCCCCCCCCCCCCCAGACAGTTTCACCTGCAGCGCCCGGCCTTGGCCGCAATGCCCTGTGCTACCTCCGATGGGGCGGAGGGGCGCCAATACTCCTGCGCTGCGCTAATAGACAGCCCACGCTGGACTCGTGGACCTTGCAGCGCCAGGCCTCGGCCGCAATGCCCTGTGCTACCTCCGCGGGGGCGGTGGGGCACCAATCCCCCTGCGCTGTGCACATAGACAGCCCGCGCTGGAGTCGTGGACCTTGCCAGGCCCTTCCATCCCTTAGGCCGAGACTGCCGCGCGGGACTACGGCCACTGCCTCCCTCGGTGGAGGCCACTGCTAGCGCGGGCTCTGGGCTCGTCTGTGCCACCCCCCCAGGGCAGCCCACTTTGGGCGGCAGAGACCGGCGGCTGAAATAACCCACCACCTGCGCTACACCTCTTTCACGGCACAGTGAATGGCAGCGGTTGGCGAACTACAGCGCCCACCGCGCCGCCCTCGCTCAGCCCCGCCCCCCCGTGGTCTTGAAGTTCTGTGCATGGGTGCCCAGGGTGTCGCTATCTGTGTTCAGCGGCTTTCGGCTGCGCCCCCCTCCTCTCTTCTTCTCATTCACGACGTCTCTGCGGCTTTTGGCTGCGCCCCCCCGATGATTGCCGAGATTGCGTCGGGCGCAGAAGAACGCCCGCCTTGAGACCTGGCCAGGGCGCATCGGTCGGCCGACCCATCTAGGGTTCTGCAGAGGTCGCCTTGGCACGTCAGCGCGCAGCCAGCAGTCGACGCAGCCCGGCAGCTCGGCAGCTGCCAACATCCTGCATGCCCAGGCGTGCCCAGGCGTTGGAGGCAGCCGGCTTCTACATGGACAGCGTGGCAGGTGTTGGGGAGGTGGCGGTCCTCCACTCACGTGGTGACTAGCTTCGTCGTGCTGCCCCGCATCGAGTGGCTCAGTCCCCGGGTCCTGGGCTTTGGCGGCGCCCCCTCCTCCTCCTCCTCGTCCCCCTCCTCCTCCTCCTCCTCCCCCTCCTCCTCCTTCTTCATTCGCAACGTCTCTGCTGCTTTTGGCCTGTCCCCCCCCCCCCCCCCCCCCCCCCCCCCCCGATCAACTGCGAAGATTGCCGCGGCCGCAGATGCGCGCTCGCCCTGAGACCTGCCCAGGGAGCTTCGGGCCCTCGTTGCCGACCCAGCCGCTGTTCTGCTACAAGGACGCCTTGGCACGTCAGCACGCCCGTGGTCAAGTAGTTCTGTGCATGGAGAGGTCCAGGGTATCTTTATCTGTGTCCAGCGGGTTTTGGCTGCGCCCCCTCCCCCTCAATTTAAGCGTCCATGCGGCTTTTGGCTGGCCCCCCCCCCCCCCCGATCAACCGCGTCGATTGCATCGACCGAGGAAGAGCGCCCGCCCTGGGACCTGCCCAGGGAGCATCAGTGCCGACCCAGCTTCGGTTCTACCGCAAGGCCGCCTTGGCAAGTCAGCTCGCCGCCAGCGCACGGCACACGCGGGCAGCTCGGCAGCTGCCAGCCACCTGTATGCCCCGGCGGCGGACGCATCCGGCTTCCGCATGGGCAGCGTGGCAGGTCTTGAGTGGGAGTGGCTGGCCACCATACGCATGGTGACTGGCCTCGTCGAGTGAGCGACCCGCATCGAGTGGTTCAGCCTTCCGCGGCCCGAGTTCGTTCGGCTCTTCTCGGCGCAGCCACAGCCCCAGCCCTCGCCAGGACATCGCATCGTTGTGCCCCCGGACCGCGTGAGTCGGATATGATGCAAGT